TATTTTGGCAGGATCAACCGATACTCTTTTTTTTGAGATTATGTGCCCTAGGTAGTCAACCTGTATGACACTGAATTGACATTTCGACTCCTTGGCAAACAAATCATTAGTGGTCAAAATATTCAAAACAATTTGTAAATGTGTGAGATAGTCTTCCCATGATTTGGAGTATACCAAGATATCATTGAAGAAAACCAAAATAAATCTCCGCAGGTAGGGGTGGAAAAGATCATTCATGAGACTTTGGAAGGTTGCTGTAGTGTTGGTAAGGCCAAATGGCATTACTACAAACTCGTAATGCCTTTCGTGTGTTCGAAAGGCCGATTTATGGACGTCGTTTCCTTGTACCCGAATTTGATGATATCCAAACCGTAGATCCAATTTGGAGTAGTATCGAGATCCATGCAATTCATCCAATAGTTCGTCGATCACCAGAATTGAATATTTATCTTTAAGAGTAATGTTAGACGGACTTAAAAAGTAGACTTGATAATCTCAACCATTGAATAGGTAGTGAGTCCCAATTAATGCTGAGATCTACAGTGAAATCAATGTTTAAGATTATCAAATCTACTTTTTAAATCCATCTAGCATTACTCTATCTTTAATGGTCTATCTTTAATGGTGATGTCGTTTAAAGTTCGGTATTCCACACAAACTCGCCAAGTGACATCTGTCTTCTCTATTAACATTATGGGTGATGAGATTGGACTATTACTCGGCCTTATCAATCCAGATTACAAAAGCTCCTGCACCATTTTTTCTATCTCAATTTTTTGGTAATAGGGGTACCGGTAGGGTCTCACCCTCACTGGCCCTGAATTTGTTCGTAATGGTATGTGGTGGTCATGGGATCTTTTTCGGAGGTAAACTGGTGGGTGGTTCGAACACATGTGAGAATTTGGATATGAGGCGATTCATCTCATGAGGGTAGGATATACTTTTGTTGCTGGGATAGGAGGGGGTTATTTGAAAGAATAATCTGATCCCCTGTAGCCCATGGAATTCCTTGTCTGTTAATGCTCCGATGTCTGCTCGCTTTAATCCTCGAAGGGTTTATGTCTTTCCATGCTTTTTGTAGCTCATAGTGAGTCTCTTGAAATCCATTTCAATGGGCCCAAGAGTTTCAAGCCACTGTACTCCCAACACTAATTGGCAAGCAGTGACTGGAAGGATATAGTAGTCAGTAGTGACGGTTTGTCCTTGGATGTTCAGTGTGAGAGCTTGACATTGTCCATTACAATTGATCTTCTCTTGGTTGGCCACCATAACTTGGAATGACTTGCTTTGATTTACTAGTAACCCAAACTTGGAGACTACAGCTTAGTCATTGAAGTTATGAGTGCTTTCACAGTCGATGAGCACCGTTACTCTCTTGTTCCTCAAATTCTCCAGTACATGTAAGGTTTGTGGGTGTTTGGCACCGGCAATGGCATGAAATGAAATTTTCGGTATGTCCTCAGGACTTACCATTTCCTGTGAATCATCTTTATCTTCCTTAAGAGTCAGGTGCGAAGTGTCTTCAATCATAAACAGCTACGGTCGTTTGCAGTGGTGGCCGGGAACAAATTTCTCATCGCAATAATAACACAACCAAGGATGCCAGCCGCTAGATTGGTTGGTGCTTTGGGTGTCATCATGGTTGGTGATGAACGGGCTAGAGGGCTGGGTTTCTTTTGCAACAGGTTGCACTCCTCTATCAGTCGTGCGACCTCGATCGTATCTGCCAATGTGTGGGGCTGCTTGATCGTTACGTCGATGCGGATATCATCTTGAAGACCTGCCACAAAACACCCTCTGAGANGATCAGTCGTGCGACCCCGATCGTATCTGCCAATGTGTGGGGCTGCTTGATCGTTACGTCGATGCGGATATCATCTTGAAGACCTGCAACAAAACACCCTCTGAGAAACCCCTTAGGCAGACCGTCGACTTGGTGTGAGAGCCTTTGGAAGGCTTCCTGGTAAGCTACCACGGTGGTTGTTTGTTTGAGACGTGTGAGTGACTCCGATGGATCCTCATCAGTGTGTCTGAAATGGAGCAACATGGCCTTGACGAACTCGCTCCATTTGAGAGGTCCACGAAACTTATTTAACCATCGGTGCCATTGGAGGGCAATTCCCTCTAGGTGGAAAGAGGCTAACTGGACTTGTTGGGCAGGTGCAATGTCTTTGAAATCAAAATACTGTTGTGCCTTGTACACCCAGCCAGTGGGGTTGTTCCCTTCGAATCTGGGAAAGGAGAGTTTAAGGTGATGTTGAGGTTGACCGTTGGAGGTAAGAGAATGGAAAGTGTGGGGATGTGATGATCCTTCAGGTGCGAACGAGTTGATATCATGAGAGTTTGGGTTTTGGTTACAGGAGGTGCGGAGGGCTTGAAGCTCAACTAACACTGCTTGTAAAACTAAGTTCATCTGATCGAAACTTGACTCATGTTGGGCTAAGGCTTCATTGACCTCGTTGCTAAATTTTGCATTCGTTTTACTACGAGTGTCCATGATTGGAACCGCGCTCTGATACTACTGATACGTAAAATTTGGGAAGAAGGAGAATAATAGTGGAGGCGGAAGAAGAAATAGTTTTGGGTATTATATCCCCTTTTTATTGAACACAACCAAGCTTTAAATACATGAAGGAATAACAATGTTGCTAAAGATTTGGAGATAAACTTGCAGCTCCTAAACATCCTGATAACAACCAAATCAAAACAACCTGATCTTGACTTATTCCTTATCAACTAAACAACCTGATAAAAATATCAGCTAAACAACCTAATAACAATATTACTTATTCCATATCAACTACACAGCCTGATAACAATATCAGCTAAACAACCTGATAATTACATGATGACCACATATCACCAAGTTCAATAAAAATTCCTAGTTTGAGTGTTCAATCACAAATCTACACATATAAACAGATCTGTGTATGTGTGTGTGTGT